ACAGCACTCAACCGTTTCATTGTCACCTAAATAGCCTGTTCACCCCTTTTGGGCCACTTTTAATAGCAGTTACAGGCACTGATTGTGCAAACAAACAATTAAATTGGTCGAGTCTCCATCCCAAAATGAGAGGGACTATCTCCTAATAATCTCATATGTGCTGTGAGTGTTTTTCCTCGACCTTTTACCATCCTATAATCAGATAGTGAACTCAATTAAAACACCAGCTCCTGGCCGCGAAAGGCTAGACAGAAACAGCCAAATCTGAAATCAGACAGATAATTGCCATGTATTGCCATAGAGTAATAGTTGTAATATTGTAATTTCTTGTTTATTCACATCTAAAGTTAAATTTAGTGATAAAATCAGGAATAAATACCTGTATTTTATTAGTAAATTTTCCGAATTATTTTGGCGGTGAAATATACATGTACTACGTGTATATGATTTCAGGGTTTGTTTGTTTTCATTCACAACTCGGTGATGCCGCGAGTAAAAAAGTTCGATTTATTACGTGGGAAATCTATTCTTGTGTGACATCTCTATCTTGTTCCTTGTCTCACTTTGTTTATCCTGTCAAACATAGCAGCCTTCGCCCCTGCATGTCATGTTCATGTTATGTAATAATCTAAGATAAGGACATTGGCATATGTGGTGGAGAGGTAGGGCCGCGCTTCGAAACACAAGAGACCGGAGTTCATTGCCGACTGAGGAAACATTTCTATCGCGTATCTCGGTCTTTGTGCTGGAATGTTGAATCCCTCTCAGTTTAGGTTGACCCTGGCAGGCAGGGTCGGAAGCCTGCCTCCTAAATGATCTAAATTCTGTCGATGGGAACGTTAAAAACATCTACTTTTTAAAAAATGATGAGATCAACAGATCAGTCTATTATGAAAGCACTTTAATTAAGAAGGGAAAGGGGGGACTCTCCCGAAGTGTCCCTTCTCTCGTCTGTCTGGATATCCCTCTCACAATATTTGAGGGATATGTACAAAGTCAGGGGCGAAATCTGAACTCGTTTAAAAACATACTTCATGAAAATAAATGCTAACTTGATAGTTTGTTCCCCGCAGTATGCGTTGTTCTTTATTGTTCTTAATTAATGCGATGTGCATATTGTCATCGATTGTGCTGTGATACATGTAGTATGAATGTCTGCTTATGCATCAGAGTTGTTCTACAGAGCGTCTGTATGTAAGCTCATGCTAATATGCTTTTTCTATTAAAACAGAAAGCTCCTAAAGCTGTATTGGACGGGAGCGAGGACTATAAAAGTTAACTGCAGTATTATTATCAAACAGAAAAAAAACCGCAGTCCCTCGCGTTTCTGCCCAATCCATACGCACCCTTTGAGTGGTAAAGTTGAGCATAGACTGGAAATGAAAGTTCAGTCTCATCACAAATCTTATTGACATACATGTACTAGTCTTGCAACAGGGCAGCTTAGCAGATACGTGTTACCAGAAGCAGTAAGGCGTTGTTAAAAATGCCAAATATTTTTTTTTTCACGTAATAGGAAAAGGTCACCGCAAATTGGAGGGTAATGTTTGCGTGGCACTCCCTGATTTGAATCGTTTGTATAATTTGTTCAAATTAGATCTCTTTTGCAGAAATCTTGTCATCGCCTGTGTCCCTCAAATTCTGATATAGAGAAAGACCTGACTTCGTTGCACAGTTGTCGTATTATGCACAATTGACAGCATGGCGTCAGGCGCGCCCTTTCATTCCGTGCAGAAGTTTTTGAACTAGATCTAGGTGTGCCTGCCCGACCTTTCAGGAGAATCAGGATCCGTGTTTTGTTAAACAAACGAATTCGCTTTTTTGAAAGTGTGTTCGCCCGTGTGTGTGTGCGTGTGTGTGTGCGTGTGCGTGTGTGTGTGTGTGTGTGTGT